CAAAATGTAGTTTTTGATGGAGCCTCGTAGTCAAGACGATTTTGCCCATGATCTCTTATGATCAACCATTACTGTAATCTTTGTCTATGATCTCTTATGGTCTCTCAGATTAGAGATATATATATCAGAAGTAAAAGTTGAGCTCATAAGTTGCGCCTTATATGTTATATATTAATCGATTTCTGTAGACATCCACATTCTCATCGCATACTAGTTCACTTCATTATCGTAATAATCTATCTGCGATAAACGGTTCTATTAATCGAAGTTTTAAAGTGTACCTCACCTGGACGGTTAAGTCCTTTACTACCTGTTCTTAGTTATTCCGCTCATTTAGCTGTCGAATTCAATTGAGTCTGAGTTACGAAGATCGAAACAAAAGCGAACTCTGCCAATCGGCGGGAATACTTATTGATCAACAAAGAAGCTGCTGTATTCGGAGTTGGTCTAATACCAAAAGGAAGACTTCGGCAGATAGCCCAGAAGAGGGTGAACAAGAGAACGAAATAAGCCACTGAACCACGCAATCTAGCACAAGTCATGGCTGACAGTCTAAAAAACGCTCTTGGTTGGAAGAAGTTTTCTTGACTTCATACAGAACGAAATATAATTCACCCCATTGATCCAATATTGAGCGAAGAAATAGAAGACGATTCTTACTTACCTTCGGGGCAAAAAGTGAGTTAAGAACACGACTCGAGACCCAAAAGATGCTCAAGAGTTCCTGCGACATGGTGAACAAATTCTGGGAGACATAATTATATTATATAACGTCGCGAACATCACCAAAACATGCTTTCGCAAGGAAAGACGACAAATATCCAGCCAAAGCTGGGAGCGGTAGCGCTGGTTCAAGAGGAACTTCAGCCTGTGTTAGGACAGATCACTCGCCTGTTTAGGGACAAACAGAAGGAAGTCCGTGAACAGAAGGCAGTCCGACCACGTGACTAATGTTAAGAAGCTTATCCAACAGATTGCCCTGCGCCCTAGAGCAGTAATCAACGACAAAGTTACATGAGCAACTTCTAGCAGTGAATCACGAAGTCGGCCTCATTCTGAAGAACAGTGAAGAAACTATCACCAGGAACCGTGTAATGGAGTTGGCCTTGTAACAGCGCCAACATCTTCGGAAAAAGATGGACAACAAGCGAAGGAATGTCGATCAAGAGTTGACTGATCTGCAAGGCAAAGTTCGATGCGCTGGGTGTATCTCGGATCTTTTGTGGGATACGTACAACGAAATGGTCTAAGTGAAAGTGGCGATGCTCTCTAAAAAGGAGCACAGCCAGAACAAAACCTACGATGGCGGGCGTCCACTCCATAGAATATCAACGAGGGTTTACATCACCTCAGAACTGCGGTCCATCTCATATGTCATCTCAGAGATTCCCAATCAAAAATATGCTCCTTAGACACGAAAGGAGCAGGACACATTGATCAATCACGTCAAAGGTCTTCAAGAACAGCTGAACCACCACTGTGTAAGGGAAGGCAGCGAAAGCTCAAAGTAGTAGCCGTTGGTGAAGAAGGTCATGGTTCAGCCAAGCAAATAGAGAAGTTCCTCGAACGGATCAAAGAGACTTCGAACAAGATCAAGGAAGTTGACTCGAAAATAGCGACATGTCAAGCAGATGAGAGCAGCAGATACGAAGCTCTCAGCAACAGCATGGAAATCTTGGAAGAAAAATTAGGTGAAGCTTTGAAGACCATGAAGCAGCAAGTGTTGGATGACATGGAGCAAAACACCAAGGAAGTGCGAAGGTTCACAGAGAAGAATCACACCTCTTCCTGAGGGCATCCTCACATTGCTCGAGGACGACATGGAAGTAAATCAAATGCAGACTCCGCCACGAACTAGAACACCAAGTGAAGTGCAGCCGCCAGAGGGGCCTGAGCAGGGCAAAGAAGAGGCGGATTCTAGCGCAAGGAAGACTCGGAAGGAGCATGAGTTTGTGTCGGACGAAGCCATGCCACTCCGCCCCTGAAGATGACAGAAATAATAAAAGAGAAGATACCTTTCGCCGTATCCCAGACAAAGTCACTCCTGAAGCGTTTGAGGGAGTGCCAGCCGAGGAAAATTGGCGACTGAAGTCAACACTGTGCACATCTGAGGCCTGCATAGTTGTATGCGGTTTTTGCCGTCAGCCGGAAAGACACTCTACTGATGCCTGTCCTACGTTTCCAAAGGTAAAGGAAAGAAGAGAGCTGACCAAGGGCGAAAGAATGTGCCGCCTTTGCTTGAAAGCGCACTGCGACGAGCGGTGTAGGACAAGTATCAGATGCGGGTACTGTGGAGATGAGACGCACCCCGAATCTTTGCGCGCCCTTCCCGAGGAACGCCAAAACTGATTGGTATCCTTAACGAGTACGACGATCGCCTTTGGCGGGAGTGTGCGGAAAAGTTACCGCACTTTTGAGCGAGGCATGTAGGCGGGACTCTAGGGGGTGTGTTATGAAGTGTATATTGCGAAAGACTGTGTATAACCTTTACTGTACTTTTTGCCTATGATCTCTTATAATCAACCAGTACTGTACTTTTTGTCTATGATCTCTTATGATCTCTCAGATTAGAGATATCCATCAGAAGCAGTTGAACTCATGAGTCGCACCTTATATGCTATATATTGCTAAATTTCTGAAGAGATTCAAATTTTCATCATATATTATTTCACTTCAGTATCGTAAAAACTATCCGATTGAGATTTTAAAGTGTAGTTTACGTAGACGGTTAAGTCCTCAACTAGCTGTACTTAATCATTCCGCTCATTTAGCTGTAGAATTCTACTGCAGTTTGAGTCACGAAGATTGAAGCGAAAGCGAGCGACGCCAATGAGCGGGGATATTTATTGATCAACGAAGAAGCTGTTGTATTCAGAGATGGTTAAATACCAAAAAGAAGACCTCGGCACTTCGGCAGGTAGACTAGAAGAGGGTGAACGAGAGAACGAAATAAGCCGCTTAACCACGCAGTACAGCGCAGGTTAGGCCTATTCATCTCGACTACCTTACACTTTTTAGCTTAGACTAGAGTCCTAACTCTTCCAGCGGCCGCCCATTCTCATCATCTTGTAAGAAGCTCCACTCACATAACATAGAAATTCGTTGCATACCTCGTCCGGAATTTGCATTGTTGTGTCGTTTATAACGTAGACGAAGGCACTCTCCACCAGCCAAAGTGTCCTGTAAGGACAATAAACGAGGAGTCTCAGGATTTTCCAGCAGAATTGGTAACAGATAGAGTTTAGTGCAGGCAAAGTATAATAAATGGAAGAAGTGGTCTGCCCTAATCAATTGAACTTGTTGAGCGCCATGCACTCAACTTCCGCTACAACTGTAGAGGTGTTGGAATGCGAAGCTTGCACACTTATGAAGCAACTCGGTGTTCAAACCAGTGTACTTTCATTTTTTTTTCTTAAAGGCACCATTCACGACTAAAAGTTATTGAGGNGGGGGGGGGGGATGGTCTTTAGAAGAGTAGTAGAGAGCCACAATTACTGCTTCATCCATGTAACAGGCCGCTATTGCTCAAACGATTTACTTACAGCGGCATTCACCAAGAGCCACCAACTGGACCATGAGAGCCGAGAGTCGAGCCCTTCATCTGATGTAGGTCATCTGATGTTTTTACGAGCCTATAGGCGATCAGTCCACTCAATGGCTAACGGTCCTCACCACAGACTGGTTTGGTTTTCTGTTGAGAATCGAGGTGACAAGTCGGTGAAGTTCACGGAAGGGGAGCTTTCCAAAGAGAAACTGACGAATATCCTGCACTTCCTTTTCAGTCATCTCAAAAAATATAGTCAGCATAGGAAATATACGGTAGAGAGAATAAAACGGAAACGTTACGACAGAAGATACAACACCGCCGCACGGTCGTCGCATGCTTGACAGGAACTGATCTTTCCTGAAACATAAATTTTTGAGGCACTTCAAAGAAAGCTATAGCTCTGAAATCGTTAGGGAACCGTTGATGATACCGTTTGAGCCTCTAGCTTACAGGGAGAACCTTATGTGTCGCTCTTGTGAAGACGCTAAACGAGCTTGTCTGATGAAGAATGTCGACATCAGTGGTACGTCTGAGCAGGTTTCTGGATGATGGGCATATCGACTGAGGGAGAATGGAAAGGAGAAGGAAAATGAATGTTCCCACTGCTAAATTTTATTGCAAACTAAACCGAAAATCAGATGCCAATGATTGAATGGCAGTGAAGAACTATCTACAAGGGACACTCGGAAGGTGCATTACTATCGGTTTCTTGATATAGCTTCCGGCTAGTGACTACGACAATTTGTCTGTAAGCGTCATCCTATCATGTTAAACTCGTACCATGCGGAAAGTCAGCCAATGCTTTTGAGCCCTACGTCGCGAAGTTATAGCAAGGAATAAACCCTATCGCATTATATCAGTTACGAAAAACTTACAACACTAAAGCAACCTTCTCTCTGATTGATTTTCCACTGTGGGACTCATCTGAAAAGACGGCATTTGGTGAGTTCCTTTATTCGAAAACCAAAATGAGCTAATAGCTAGATTAGTTAGGAGCTTTCTTCAAGAAATGAGTCACGAGGCGCCATTGAGGTCACCGTCTATGACCTTAGCCATCTTCTAGCACTACGCTTTGCCAAGTATGAATGAACCATTTAAACATCGTCTAAAAGTGATTACATTTGCAAACAAACCTGAACCAAGTGATCCCAACAATAAATCGAATCCGTCCTGCAATGAATCCAGTAGTCTCATGGATGTATGAATGAATCAAACGTTCGAACCAAAAATAAATCTACCCCA